TATGAATGAAATTATTTTCTTAATTTTCTTGTGGATTGTTCATTGTTAGTGTATCAAAACATGATTGATTTTTGTGTGATGATGTGGTGATTTTGTATCCTGCAACTTAGCTGAATTCATTTATTAGTTAGAACAGGTTTTTTTGGGGTACAAAATCTTTATTTATTTAAGAACATGTCTGTAGAGATAATTTTTACTTCTTCCAGTCCAATTTGGATGCCATTCATTTATTTTTCTTGCCTACGTGCACTGGCCAGAGGAAGTGTTCCTTCCTCTTTCTGGGTGGTGTATGCGTATGTGTGTGTGGGGAGATTCTAGGAGAATTGATGCTAATTCTTCCTTAAATGTTTATATAATTCATCTGTGAAGCTGTGAAGTCCTGGGATTTTTTGATGGTAGTTTTTTATTATTAATTCAATCTCTTTACTTGTTTTAGGTCTATTCAGATTTTTAAGTTTTTTCTTGAGTCAGTTTTGGCAGTTTGTGTATTTCTAGGAATTTTCCCATTTTATCTAGATTATCTAATTTGTTGGCACACAATTATTCATAATATTTTCTTATAATTCTTGCTATTTCTGTAAGATTGGTAGTAATGTCCCCACTTTCATTTCCACATTCATTAGTAATTTGGTTCTCCCTCTCCCCTCCCTCCCTCTCTCTCTCCCTCCCTTTCTTCCTTCCCTCCTTCCTTCTATCCATCCTTTCATCCCTTCTAAGAATTTTGTGCCCACCCTCCTTTCTTTCCCCCTTCCCCTCCCCTTCCATTTCTCTCCCTCCCCTACTTTTCCTTTCCTTTCCTCCTTCTTTCTTTGTCAGTCTAGCTAAAGGTTTGCCAATTTTGTTGATCTTTTCAAAGTCTCACTTTTGGTTTTGTTAATTCTTGCTGTTGTTTTGTAACTCCTACTTTATTTCTATTCTAATCTTTATTATTTTCTACTGTCAACTTTGATTTTATACTGTTATTCATTTTCTGGCTCTTTAAGAGGTAAAGTCAGACTATTTTGAGATATTATTCTTTTTTAACCTAGGTGTTTACAGATATAAATTTTCCCATGAACATTGCTTTATTGCACCTCATACTTTTTGGTATGTTAGTTTTCATTTTTAAGACATTTCACTATTGTATCCCATACTTTTTGGTATGTTGGTTTTCATTTTAAGTCATTTCAAAGTATTTTATCATTTCCCTTATGATTTCTTATTTGATTCATTGGTTAAAATTGTGTTTAATTTTTACATATTTGTGAAATTGTAGTTTTCCTTTATTGATTTCTAGTTTCATTCCATTACAGTCAGAGAAGATACATTGCATGATTTCAATCTTTTAAATTTATTAAGACTTGTGTTATGGCCTAATATATTGTCTACACTGGAGAATGTTGCAGAAGTACTAAGGAAGAAGGTGTATTTGGCTGGTTTGGGGTGAAGTGCTCTACACACGTATTACATGTGGCTGGTTTAGTGTTGTTCAAATCCTATACTTCCGTATTGGTCTTCTGTTTAGTGTTCTATTATTAAAAATGGAGCACTGAAGTCTCCAATTATGGTTGTGAAACAGTGCATTTTTCCTTTAATTCAGCTTTTGCTTCTTATATTTTGAGGATCTCTTGTTAGGTGTATATGTTTATAATTGTCACATATTTTTTATATATTGACCCTTTTATCAGTATACAATGTCCTTCTCTGTCTCTTTTAACAGTTTTGACTTAAAGACTCTTTTGTCTTTTACTATTTGCTTAGAATATCTTTTTCCATCCTTTCATTTTCAACCTATTTATGTCTTTGGTTTTTAATTAGTATGTCTTTGGATTTAAATTAGTATGTGTAGAGCACATAAGGATAGGTCACAATTTTTTAGTCCTTTCCGCCAATCTCAGTCTTTTCACTGGATAGTTTAATCCATTTATGTTTCAAGTAATTAATAATTAAGAAGATCATCTGTCATTTTACCCTTTAATTTTTTATATATTATATCTTTTATATTCCTCAATTCCTGCATTACTGATTTTCTCTATGGTTAATTTTATTTTTCTTGTGTACCATTTTGAATCTATGAGGGAAACAATTTAAAAGAGTATTTTTTCCTAATGTTTGGAGGCAGAAAGTCTCTTTTATTTTTTTTTCTCTACTTCGGAACATAACCTGGTTTAGAGTAATTACACATTATAAATGCCTGATATGATCACAAATACTTTCAAAAACACTTCCAAATATTGCATGAAACACTTGGATTCAAGAGAACCGTTTGAAAATGATTGATTTAACTATTGAATTTTTTCTCAACATTGTCTTCCAGAGTCTTGCTGGGTACCAAAATAATAGTTTTATAGAATTGAACCAGATGAGGTCTCAAAATCCAAGTGGGTTCTTATTTTTCTAATTATATCACCAATGCAGGCAGTCATTTCCTAGTCTTAAAGATACCTAGCACTGACGATTTCAGGAACTCCTTCAATAGCTTATCCTACACTAAATTCACCTTTATCATTAAGTCTTCTTAAAGACTAGTTTTACTATTTTGTAATGGAAGGTTATTTGCTCCTCTTTTTGTCCTCTTCTTACTTTATTGGCATTTCTACTTTTTTTGCTCCTTAGTCTTTAAGAAGTAACCAATTTTCTTTGCAGAAGCTTGTCAGTTTGATAAGGTCTTACTTATTCATCTTATCTCTTATGGCATGGGCAATTGTAATTTTGATCAGGAATTGGTTGCCAGTTTCAATTTCCGAAAGGGTGTCTCCTGTATTTTCTAAGATTCTTATAGTTTGAGGTTTTACGTTTAGGTCTTTGATCCATTTAGAGTTAATTTTTGTGTATGGTGATAGGTAAGGGTCCTGTTTCAATCTTCTGCATGTGATCAGTCCATTCTCCCAGCACCATTTACTGAATAGGTTCTCCTCTCCTCAGTGGTTGTTGTTGGAATCTATGTCAAAGATGAGTTGGTTGAGAAATTGAGACTTTGCTTCTGGAATCTCCATCCTGTTCCATTGGTCTGTATGTCTGTTCTTGTACCAATACCAGGCTGTTTTGATTACTGTAGCCTTATAGTAAAGTTTGAAGTCTGGAAGTGTGATACCTCCCGCTTTGTTTCTTTTGCTAAGGATTGTTTTGGCTATTCGTGGTTGTTCATGCTTCCATATGAATTTCTGTATTCTCATTTCCAGGTCTGAGAAGAATGATGTTGGTAACTTAATGGGTATTGTGTTGAATCTGTAGATTGCCTTTGGTAGGATGGACATCTTAACAATGTTGATTCTTCCTATCTATGAGCATGGAATATTTTTCCATTGTTTGTGAATTCTTGGATTTCTTTGAGCAGTGTTTTGTAGTTCTCATTGTAAAGGTCTTTCACTTCTCTGGTTAGGAGGGTGCCGAGGTATTTCATTTTTTTTGTGGCTATTGTGAATGAGATTGTGGTTTTAATTTGGGTCTCTGCCTGCATGTTGTTGGTGTATTAGAATGCAACTGTCTTTTGCACATTTATTTTGTACCCTGACACTTTGCCAAAGTCCTTTATCAGTGCAAGCAGGTTTTTGACAGATTCTCTTGGAGTTTGGAGGTATAAGATCATATTGTCAGCAAAGAGGGATAACTTAACTTCCTCTTCTCCCATTTGGATATCTCTGATTTCCTTCTCTTGTCTAATTGCTCTAGCTAGGATTTCCAAACACAATGTTGACAAAGAGGGGTGAGAGTGGGCATACTCGTCTTGTTTCAGTTTTCAGGGGAAATGTTTCCAGTTTCTGTCCATTTAGCAATATGCTAGCTGTAGATTTATTGTAGATGGCGCTTGCTATTGAGGTATGCTCCTCCTATATCTAGGTGTTTGAGGGTTTTTGTCAAGAAGGGATGATGGATTTTATAAAAAGCGTTTTATAAAAAGCATGTAATGATATCATCATGTGGTTATTGGTTTTACATCTATTGATATATTTAATTACATTTATGGTCTTGTGGATGTTGAACAAGTCCTGCATCCTAGGGATGAAGCCTACTTGGTCATGGTGGATGATTTTTGAGATGTGTTTTTAGATCCAATTTGCTAGAAGGCTGTCAAGAGAGCAGGGAGACAGCCCACAGAATGGAAAAAATAATTGCCAACTGTATATCTGACAAAGGCCTAACATCTAGGATCTACAAGGAGCTCAAATGTGCCAAAAGGAAAAAAAAAAACAGCCTCATTAAAAAGTGGGCAGAAGACATGGATATACGGACAGCCAACAGACACATGAAGAAGTGCTCAGTCTCACTAATCATCAGAGAAGTACAAATCAAAACCACACTGAGATACCACCTAACCCCAGTAAGAATGGCCATCATTCATAAAACAAACAACAGATGTTGGTGAGGATGTGGAGAAAAAGGAACGCTTCTACACTGCTGGTGGGAATGCAAACTAGTGCAACCTCTTTGGAAGACAGTGTGGCAATTTCTGAAAGAACTAGAAATTGACCTTCCATATGACCCAGCAATCCCCCTATTGGGAATGTACCCAGGGGAACTCAAGTCAGTCTACCAAAATGATACTTGCACACGCATGTTTGTTGCAACTCTGTTCACAATAGCAAAAACATGGAACCAACCATGCCGCCCATCAAAGCTGGACTGGATTTAAAAAATGTGGTACATATACACAATGGAATATTATGCAGCCACAAAGAAGGACAAACATGGACTTCGCAGCAACTTGGATGGATTTAGAGTCTATCATACTCAGTGATCTATCACAAAAACAAAGAACAGAATACCATATGTTCTCACTCATAAATGAACCTTGAACAATTATCATAATACTATAAGAAAGGAATTGACTGTAGTAGGAAACTGCCAGGGGAGGAGGGGTGGGATTCACAGTTGAGGGAAACTGCCAGGGGAGAGAGGAGCACACCTCATCAACAAGGGTACCTGCATAATGAACATTTGTATACCTAACCCTGAATTGTACTCCACATCTTTAAAATAAGAAAATTAAAAATAAAAAAAGAAGTAACCAATTTTCTTACCTTCTGGTTTGGCTGCTGTGGGAGTGTGAAGATAGACTTCCAGTATGTCCAGGCAAAGAACACAAAGATGGCATGGTAGAGTATGAGGTAGATAACTGAAATTAAAAAATCAGCATTTATACTATCTTTTTAACCACTGCTAAGAGTTACAAAACATAAATCTCAATGGCAAATTTTGTCTTGTTTTCTTATTATGATGTATTCCTTAGCATTATTATGAAATGTTTACTCTTCCTATTTCCCATGCAGTGACAGAAGCAAGTCAATAACAAATTTTGAACCAGAGACCTTCTGGAAGTTGCATGCCCTAAAAGTGGTCATGCAATTCTGAAAGTCAAGAAGGGAAATGTCCTTGATGACAATTTAGAGGAAACTACTTTAGCCAATTAGCATTATCTTTACCACTGTGAAAACTGAAAGGTGATGATTATTTAATTTAAATAGCACTTTAGCGTTTACAACAGGCTTTCACATATATTATTTCATCTTATTTTTTCAATAACATTGTGAGATAGATAATAAGATAGGAATAGGTGATTAACTATCAGAGGTAATTGATTAACCAAAGTGACATAGCTAGTCTACAATGTAGCTAAGTGTTAAAAAGTACACACTTTCTTCCTTTTTTAAAAATTTGTGTAAAGTCATGGGGTACAAGTGCAATTTGGTTACATGCATAGATTGCTTAGTGGTGCAGCCAGGGCTTTTAGGGTATCTATCACCCAAATAACATACATTGTACCCATTAAGTAATTTCTCATCATCATTCCCTTCCACTCCCTTACCCTTGTAAGTTTCCATTGTCTATCACTCCATACTTTATTGCCCATGTGTCCTCATTTATGAGTGAGGAAATGAGATATTTGTCTTTCTGTGTCTGGTTTGTGTCACCTAAGTTAACAATTTCCAGTTCCACCAATGTTGCTGCAGAAGACAAGATTTCATTCTTTTTATGGTTGAATAGTATTCCATTGAAAGTAGTTTCCTCTAAATTGTCATAAAGGACATGTCCCTTCTTTACTTTCAGAATTACATGGCCACGTTTAGGGCATGCAACTTCCAGAAGGTCTCTGGTTCAAAATTTGCTTTTAAAACATGAGTTGCACCTCTGAGACAATTATAAAAGTGGCTCTTCACTGCCTTTCTTTTCAAACTCTTTGCCTCTTAGATAGCTGTTTTAATATGGGGAATTTTGGTATTCTCCACAGAGGTGGTTATAAGACTGAAAGTCATTTTTCTATTTCATCATGAGTCTTTGAATGGCACAGCTTTGTTACTTCAATCCATCAGAATGACTCAAGGGAATGATATGACTCAAGACCAAATTAAAAGGGCTGGTCCTCTCATACATTTATGGTTGAATTTTTAAAAAGCTTCACTCTCTTGGCCCACTGATCCCAGCCCTACAGTACAGTTCCAGAAGGTGTGTTTGATTTTTATTATTATAAAATGTCATATAAAAATGCAAGCAATATAAAATGAAAGGTAAATGTCCATCCTACACCTATATGCAGCCTTCCATCTCCCCATCCTAAGGCATAACATCTCCTTGGTTTTTATTATTCTGGATCTTTTTATCTTTTATCTAAATATATGCACACAATAAACCTGAATTTTTTGTGATTTAAATTGCTTTCATTGTCTTTTTTTTGAAAGGTAATATATTCACAAGGTTCAAAATTTGAAGGTTCAGCATGGTATACAGTGAAGTTTCCCTCTTATTCATATCCCTCATCCACCTAGTTCCTCTCCCTGGAAGCAACTGATATCACAAGGCCATGACTTTATTGTACAAATTTTTAATTTTGACTTATAAAATCACCCAAATAGTGTATTTTTCACATAAATAGAAGTATTCTATATATCTTGTTTTGCACCTTACTTCTTTTTCACTTACTATAATATGGAGCTCATTCCACTTAATATAACTTGGAGAGAGTGAGCTTCCTCACCCTCCTTTTAAAAGGCTGCATGGAATTCTATTGCATAAATTTATCATAATATTTTTACCCAGACGCTCTCTGATTAAAAGTTATTTTCCCCTTCTTTTGCTAATAAAAATAATGCTTCAATGAATAATTTGTATATATGTCATCATCATATGTAAATTTTCTAAAGTAGAATTGCAAGGCCAAAAGGTATGTCTTTTGGTAAATTTTTGCCAAATTGCCATTAAGGAAAGTTGTATTTTAATTTACATTTTTCACCATCAATGAATTTGGGTGCCTCTTCCTCTACAGTCTAGCTTTTGTGAAGTGTTATCAGAATTTTCAATCTTGGCCAATACCTTTAAATTTTTTTCTGCCTTAAAAATGTGCAACACATTTCTTTATAATTAATTCTTTTTTACTTATAATACTCATCCTTATAAACTACAAGGACTACGAGTATTTTTTTTTTTTTTTTAGTTGGAGTCTCACTCTGTCACCCAGACTGAAGTGCAGTGGTCGCTCCCAGCCACCGCAGCCTTGCCTGCTGGGCTCCGGCGATCCTTCCACCTCAGCCTTCCGAGTAGCTGGAATTACAGGCGCGCGCTACCACGATCGGCTAATTTTTTGATTTATTGCAGAGATGAGGTCTCGCCAAGTTGCCCAGGCGGGTCTCGAACCCGCGGGCTCAGGTAATCCACTCACCTCAGCCTCCCAAAGGCGCGGGATTACAGGCTGAGCCACTGAGCCTGGCTGACTCTGAGTATTTTTAAATGTGATGCTCCATTGGGGTTTGAGATCATTAGAGAAAGCAAACAGCTTATGCATTGTATCTCTGAACTGCCATTGCTCATTAACAAGGAACAAAATGGGAAAACATCTTTTTTTTTAAGGAAATAGGCACAGTAGAGTTCTTTGCTTATGTGGCAGTGTTTACAACCATAAGGCATCAGAAGCTGCTGGAACTATAATTACCACATGAAAGCCAAAAGCCTTTCGACTGCCCCTCCTCCACTTTCCTTCCACAAGGTGCAACATTTATCAGGAGGAGCAGAAATCAGTCATAAGGAATGTATCCCACTGCCAAGGAAAAACTTACCTAAGCATGCAGTGGTTCTGAATTTAAGCACTATGCTACACTGTGAATATTTCATTATGGGACTAGCTTCTGAAATGAGTATGACTACTTAAACTTTTTTTTCTGAAATAATGGCTCATAAACACTTTGATAAAATTATGGAATATGAAACTGCATGGTAAAAATAGCATAAAGTTGTTAGTAACATCTTACGCCAGCAGAATGTCCTTTCTAGGTGCTGCTCCCAGAGATGAATGGAGAATGGGTGACTGTGTGTGTGTGTGTGTGTGTGTGTGTGTGCGCGCACACGCATACGGATGCTATCAGCATACACATTCTTGTGTGAATAAGAATGAATGAAGAACCTGCACTGAAAGCGGAGGAGAGGGGCTGGAAAACTGAGCTGCTCACTAAGGTGGACGCTTCAGAAAGGAACCTGGAGTTACAGAAATAGCCACAGGGTGAGTTTTTTTTTCTTCTTGCTTTAGTTTTTGCTTTTTTTTTTCTTCTCTCTTTCTTTCTGTTTTTGTTTATGATTTTGGACTTGCTTTGTTTCTGTTATTTTAAAGGTTTTTTTTTTTCATTTTCTGTTTGTGCATGTGTATTTTTGAGGGAAAGTACTCCAATAGGGGGATTTTTGTTTTTTTGTATGATTGTATGTTTTTGTCTTTCTTGTTTTTTCTGTCTTTGTTTGTTTCCCTGTTTATACATTAATTGGTATGCCTGTTTTCCCTCTTCTTCTTCATCTCTCTCTCCACCTTCCTTTTGTCTTCTTCCTTCCTTTTCTCATTTACTTCCCTTTTCTTATCTCATTTTGCTTTCAGGGGGCAAACAGACACCCCCACTGCATAGACAGATGGTAAGGCAGTGAGAAGTGGGTTCCAGAGGGCCCACACTGGGATACTGGGATCTGCAGATAGCTTCATAGACACAGCTACCCCCCTTAATTAAATCTCAAAACTGCAAAAGCACAGGTCCCCATCCCTAATCCAGCTTCAAACTGAATAAAACCAGAGGATCTACATACAGAAGAATAGGAGATTGAGCAAACTGAAATAAAAGCTATCTCCCATCACTGAACAACAGAATTAAAAAAGAGGTTAAAAAAAGGGGGGGGGGTGAAGAAAACCTACACAAATGAAGAAAAACCAAAGGAAAATATGAGTCTCAAACAGACCTCTGGAAGGTCAGCCACTGAGAATACAGACTTTGTAACTCAAACAATGAGGATCCCCAGAATGACTAGTCTCAAACCAAAAACCAGATATGAAGATATCAATAGAGAGAATAAATAGAAATAAGGAGAGACAAGAGAAAAGAATGAAGGAATTGATAACTGAGATAACAGCAATAACGACTATAGTGAATGAAATAAATAACAAACTGCTGAGGATGGAAAGCAGAGTTAACCAAGCAGAAGAAAGAATCTCAGAGCTTGAGGACCAAAATATGGAACTAACCCATACTGTTAAAAACATAGAAAAGAAGATTAAAAAGACAGAGCAAAACCTCCAAGAGATGGGCGATTATTTCAAGAGGCCAAACCTAAGATTAATTGGAATTCCTGAGGCATATAGAGAGACAGAGACCACCCTGGAACAAATATTTCAAGAAATTATCCAAGAAAACTTCCTTCATCTCATCAGTAACATGACCATTCAGCACAAGAGATTCAGAGAACCCCTGCAAGAAAACAAATGAGAAGACCAACTCCTAGAAACATAGTAATTCACCTACACAAAGTAGATATAAAAGAAAAACTCCTAAAGGCAGCAAGAGAGAAATGTCAGACTATCAACCAGGGAAGACCAATTAGAATAGCAGCGGACTTACCTACAGAAACACTTCAGGCTAGGACAGCTTGGAGCCCAATCTTCAAAGTTCTCAAAGTTAAACAATTTTAACCAAGAATTACCAACTCAACTAAGCTAAATTTTATCAGTGATGGAGAATTAAAATTCTACAAGAAACACTTAAGAAAGTATTAAATAAGGAAGGAAAAAAAGAATGACAATGCTCTTCCCAAGAATGCAGGAAAAAGATTGAAAACACACATGAATTCACCAAAAAAATCAAAAGAAAGACAATA